ACTTAGGGTACTGAGATGCTAAGTATTCTAATTGGATCTCAACATTGCATCTCTAATAGATCAAGAATTGGATATAATCCCACAATTGATACTTCTCAAAAAAAGCCTAAGAAGGTTGCAAAATATTATCATAGTTATTTTAAGCCTTTTGTTCATTCGTCTAGTTCTTTTATCACATGTGCATTCTGTAATAAGAAAGGTCACCATGTTAAGTCTTGCCTTTATAGGAAGAATAGCATTAATGAGTTTATGAGATGGGTTCCCAAAAGTACTTGTGTACCTAGGAGTATGACTAACAAGAAAGGACCCAAAAAGAAATAGATACCTAAAAAGAAATGATCTCATATTGTAGGTATGCTTTACTGTCTCAAGAAAGAAAAAGAAAAAGTGGTACATTGATAATGGGTGTTCAAGACACATGACTAGAGATATTGATGAGTTTGTAGAACTTATAGAGAAAGAAAGAGGATATATAACCTTCAGTGGAAATCAAAAAGGTCACATAGCTGGCATTGGAAAAGTTGGTAATGGAAAAGAAGCAAGCATTGAACATGTTCTATATATCAAAGGACTCTTCCATAACCTCATTAGCATCAGTTAAAGTTGTAATAAAGGAAACAAAGTCATATTTGACTCTAAATCTTGCATAATTCAAAGGGAGTCAGATGGCAAGATTGTTCTTTGTGGTGACAGAGACAATAACTATTATACTTTTTATTTAGAATGAGATTCCTTCTTGCAAAAATGTTTTATGAGTAAGTGTGGGGAAAGTTTTTTGTGACATCATCACTTGGCACCAGTACATAAAAAATAGTAGAGAAATTAGTGAAAAATGATTTAGTCCTTGGTTCCACCCTTATGTTTTGATCAAGAAAAAATTTGCCAAGCGTATTAGTTTGGGAAGAAAACTAAATTATCTTTTAAACTAAAGGATTTTTTATCCTTTGAAAGGCCTCTTCAGCTTTTGCACATAGACTTAGTGGGTCCTTCAAGAGTCAAAAGTTTTAGTGAAAATCTGTATACACTTGTTATTGTTGATAATTTCTTTAGATTTATATGGGTCTTCTTCCTAAGTTCTAAGGATGAAATGTTCTATGCATTTAGTACTTTTGCCTAATGTTTTCAAAATCGGACTGGATATTGAATCGAAAAAGTTAGCGATTCACGGTTTGCATGGTTCAACCAGTTGGACTAATGGTCCAACCGGTGACGTAATAATTAAATTAAAAAAAATTATACATGTATATAATAATTTAAATATAAGAAATACATATGAAATTGCTATTTAACTTAAAAAAATCAAATATTTTAAGTTTATTATGACTTAACAAGCCATATGATACAATATAATATCAAATGATTAAAAAAATTAGTCATTTTTTAAAAAAATTTGATAAAAAATAAAAAAAAGTTTTTTTTGAACAGTCTGGTTTTTGAAAACCGGATCCGATTCTCGGCTTGATTTCGATTCCCGGTCTGACCGCCGGTTCAAAACGGGTCAAACCAGCTCAACTCTTAAAATGGTTTTTTTCTTTGAACCAGACCGATCGACGGTCTGACCGGCCGGTCCGGTCCGGTTTTCAAAACAGTGCTTTTGCCAAAGATGTCCAAAATGAGAAAGGTTTATAAGAAGTGTTTGAGAACTGGATGTAGGCTCAAGTGGTTGGAGTTGAACTAGGATAAATATCTCTACAAGTCTCTCTTCCTTTCTCTTCTTGATGTTTCGTGATATCTTTCTAAATTCATCATCTAAATTTTATTATTATTAGCCAAATTTTTATAAAGCCCAATTCATCCTCCTCTTGAGCAAACTTTCACTTATAAACCAACCCTTGATGGCTCTTTTTCACTTTAAATTTTGCCTACCATTTTGCTTTTTCAAGCACAAATGATCACCGAGACAACATGTGGGAACTCATTAATTTGAAAACTAAATATGCCGAAAAGGATGAAGATGTTCCTTTGACTTGTGGCAAAGGGTAAATCCTATGGAACTTAAACCAATAAGAGGTATTGCTGAAAACGATGTACGTATGTTTGCCCTTTTGGTTGTGGTTTTATACTAAGAATACTTTCATTTTCATGTTGTTAGACTGTCAAGTTGCTATATAAGCCTCTAGAACCAACTTGTTAGACCAAAGTTTCAGAGCTATTTGCAAATAAGGGGAATCCCACTGTAGGCCTTAAAAAAAAAGTGCACTGTAGGCCTAATAATTTTTGATAATACACTATAGGCCCAATGATTTTTGTTGCAATTTTTCTTGGGAGCGAAAATATAATTTTGCCTTAATGTGATTTGAAAATTCAAAACCTATGTGAAACCGTTATCCTTAAAGCACAAACACAATGTTTATAAATTCTCAACATGATGTTCATGAATTCTCAACATGATGTCTATACATATCTTGTTAATATATAGGTTAATTAAAATATGTAATTTTTCTTGGGAGCAAAAGTATAATTTTGCCCTTAATTAAAATGAAAGAAATGAATTGAAAGTGGTGGAATGATTAACTTGACACACATGGACATTCAGTTGAGAATGCATGGCCATTGTGTTGTGCATCTATAGATATTGTATTGTACGTTATCTGCATAACGTACATTTATTAAACTAACTGATCAACTGGACAAATATAGACATTATGTTGAGAATTCTTGAACATTATGTTGTGCTTCATGGATGAGTGTTTTGCATAAGTTTTGAGTTTTCAAATCACACAAGGAAAAAATTATACTTTATTCCCAAGAAAAATTGCAACAAGGACCCTAGGGTCTACACTGTTAGAATTTATTAGGCTCAAAGTACAGTTTTCTTAATTTTTTTTTTTAGGGTTTGTAGTGTGATTCTCCTTGCAAATATTGACTATGTTGATTGGATTAAATGTAACATGATGAGCGAATTAGGAAGCAGTAACATGAGAGAGATTTTCTGGAGCACGATTTTTACTTACACTTGTCGGGAAATATGGAATTTGAGAAATTAAAAAAAAAAAAACAATGAGGGAATATATTTACTTGTGCTTAGATGGGGAAAATTAGTAGGGTGACTGCGAGATAGCATCATATGGAATGATCTAGCCGCAGAATTGAGGTGAGGGCTCTCACACTCTGTCCTGATTCTTGCCAACGCATTTGGCGCACGGCTTGCTTGGCTCAGTCTGAGCATTTCATTTTATTTTTAAATAATCTCTTTCTCATTTAAATTAATTTTTAATTATCTTTAAATATTGTGTTTATTAATATAAAAATTATAAAAAAATTTAATATTAAATCTAGATTGTTTGTCCCAGTCATCTGGAAACAAGCACCATGATGCTCATCATCTCTGACGAGACCTAGATCATTTAATTAAAACTTTATATTTTTGTTTTATATTTATTAAAATAAAAATTTATAAAAAATATAAAAATGTTAATAAATTTGCTTATCACCAATCTTGTCAATACATATTTAATCTAGATGATCAAATTACAAATTTTATAATTTTACAATTTGACTATCTAGATATATATTAGACAGTTTAAATATAATCTAAATGATCTAATTTAATATTAAAAAATTTTAAATTTTACAAATTGACCTTGTAGATATATTCTAGATAGTTCAAATTTAATATTAGAATTTTGAAAAAATATAAATTTGGATTCCTGTATTTTGCTCTCTTTTTACTATAGGTCATTGCACTTTATTTTTTGTATTTTTGATCCATGTACTTTACTTTTTGATGCTTTAAGTCCCTCCAAAGTTCCTACACTTTATTCATTGAGGGACCTAAAACTTTGAAAAATAAAAATGTAAGGACAATATATACAAAAAATGCAGGGACCTACAACAAAATACGAACAAAATATCGGGACCTGAAGTTATGTTTTTCCTAAAATTTTAAAAATTTTTATGTTAATAAACAAAATATTTAATAACACTTTAAAATTAATTTAAATGATCGGCAGAGATCATTTAAAAAAAAATTGGAAGGGTCAGACTGGGTCACGCCCAATAAGCATGCATTATTCATCACAAGTGATGGGGACTGAATGCCAACGCGTGATTTGTGATGCCGGCGGAGATTGCAGAGATTTGCGGCTTAGCAAAGGAACTAAAAATATGTTGGGAGAGAGGCTTTCACAGAATTGAGATGTAAACTAACTGCGCAGAGGTAATTAATCTAGTCACAGGGGATCAATTCAGTCAACACCTTTTTAGGGATGTCATTAAAGCTACTGTAGATATTTTACACATATATTCACTTGTTCTTGTATCTAGTTAATACGGAGTCAAATTGTATTGCTAATCTTCTTGCTAAAAAAGTTAGTCTACCAAACACCCTTAAATTTTTTTATCATTCACCACCTTTTATTTCTGCAATAGGGTGGCGTTTGATGATGGATTGTTTTTACTTGTTCTTTTCCTTCTAACGTTTTACTTTTAGTAGTGCACAGAAGATACTAAATGGGTGTGGCACAGATAACATAGATCTAAATTTTTTAAACATTATTCTAGGATTCAATTTTTAAAAGCAGGTATGGTGAGCATTATTTAAAAAAGAACAATTCATTAAATGAGTTCAAATTTTTCAGGAGATTAGTCTCATAACTTAAGAAAAAAAAGATAAAAGTAACACATTTTAAAATAAAACAAGTTTATCCACTATGAAAAAGACAAATTCAAAAAAAAATGTTTTATTCGTTTTATTTGTATCCTGCGGTATAAAATATAGTGTTATTCAAATTTACATGAGCAAATTTTAATTATGAGTGAAAAACTAGAGGCTATCTAAAACCAGCGCACCGCTTTTGGTTTGTGTCCGGTGCATCACTTACCAATTGCAATTTTTTTTTTTCCCAACAATAACATCCCCTATCTTGTCCAAATTCTATTTTGGCTCTCTTGTTCCCATATATATATTATAATAATGATCCCACTTTCTTCTAAATCTAATTTTCTATTTCACCCAAGTGTTTCCAACCACATCCGTATGATCAAGAGAATCATGCCTTCATACATCCTCATCTTCTTCCTTCTATCGCCGGCGGTCATTGCCCAGTCAAGTTTACCATCAATGGCTTCTCCTAAATATTGGGACCCATCGTTCACTTCGGTGGCTCTGGTCTTCGTTTGCGCATTCTTGTTCGTTGGTTGCTTCGCCCTCTACCGCTGCTCGGACATGGACATTGCCTCTGGCGACACGACCGGCGCCACCACCAATTGTTCTTCAAGTGGCCCTCAAGGTATCGACCCCAATTTACTCGACACCTTCCCCATCGTCGTGTATTCCGCCGCCGTCAGCCACCTCAAATTTGGGAAAGCCGCCGTGCCGGAGTGTGCTGTGTGCTTGAGCGAATTCGATCACCAAGATACGCTCCGATTGCTACCCAATTGTAATCACGTGTTTCACCTTGAATGCATCGACGCCTGGTTGGCCTCTCACGTGACTTGCCCCGTCTGTCGCTCGAGGCTGAAACCGGCGAAGGAGCACCGCAGAGTTGGAAACGAAGTGGTGATAGTGATTCCGAATGATGCTATAGACGCAGATCAGGTGTTAGATGAAAGTTCTGCGAGTAGAACTGAGCTTAATTCAGGATATGGAAGAAGTTTGGGAAGGTGTCATTCGACGGGTCACTCTTTGGGTTTGGGTGAAATCGGAGGGAAGGACACGGAGAGGTGCACTGTGACTTCGCCGGAGGATGTAAGGAAACAGATTCCGGTGAATCTTGGAAAAATGCGCCGGTCGGCGAGCTACGATGTGTTCTGTAATCGGCCGGGTGAAGAGAGCAGTAGAAAGCATTCTTTTCTTTGAAGGAAACTTCCATTCGTTTCTTGTGGTAATAATGCGTCGTCTTCTTCCTAGTCACTTCACTCACTGTCGTCTGTAAGTGCAACAATTTGTAAGTCTTGTGAGAAGCAATTTGGTCATCATCCTCGGTGGGAAATGTATTTCAATGGGTGACACAAAAAATCAGTTCGTTGCTCATCACTAAAATTTGCTCTTATTCTTTAGAGGGAAAATTACAATTAAAAACATCAAAAAACTAGTAATACCGACTGAGAACCACAAAATTATGCAATTAAATTTAAGGATTGTGACCAACAAGTTTAATATAATGAGAGAGATTAATTTCTCATAATATGATAAATTAATATGTAAATTTATTAAAAAAAAATGAATACATTTAGCATGTCTCAAATTGGATTGCCTTGAGCAATTAAAAAAAAAAAAGTAAGGACCATGATTTTTTTTTTGTAGTTTAAAAAATAATATTTTACTAAAATTCCCTTTTTTAAAATATACAATTATTTAGTGTAAAGGATTTTTTAGTCAAAAGATTACCTGTTGAAAAATATAAGAAATTTTTAACTAAATCTTATTTTAATAAAGTTGTTAATTATTTTTAAATTAATACTAAATTTTTATATCTACTCATATTTAATAAAGCATTTTATTTTAAAATAAATATATAATAATTTATTTATTATAGGTACTTAACTTTTTAAAAAACACATTACTTATACTTTAAAATACTAAAAATATGTTATATTTTTTAATATTTATTCTCTTAAAAATCTCTTACATTTTTTAAACTGCAAAAAGACCCTGATCCTTGAATTTAGTTTCAGGATTTTGTGATTTTTAATTATTATTTTTCATCATTTAATTTTCATGTTCTTAATTATGATTTTCCCTTGTTTCAAAGAGATAGAAATGTGATAAAACTGGGAAAGATATTTCTCTCGTATAAAGCACGACAAACATGAGGCGGTATTTCTACTTCAAGGCTAACGTAGAGGATCAATTTTTTAATATTTTTTTTTGTCTAGTATTAAAATTTATTTTAATTGAATCTTTTTTTAGTAATGATTATGATTATGATTATTAAAAAGAAAGAATGATTAACGAATATTTAATGTATGATGTGAAAATTAACTATAAAGCACGACATGAAGCTTCCCCACCGAGTTTTGTTTCTTTGTTGCTAATTTTTTATAAAACTAATATGTTTTTTCTTTTTTCTTTTTGATGATAAATGTCTCTCTTGGCCCCAATGGGATTCTAACTGAAAACTAAAACTAATTTGTTATCAAGTATTTTAATCTCCGCTCAATTTTCCTTAACTCAAAATTTTTTTTTTGGCATCTTGAGAAGTTATGAAATTATATATCATGGATTTCTTTTCCCATTTTTTATCATCAAATATGGTTAAAAGAAATTTGTCTTTCAATCACCGGATTATAAGCTGTGATATTTTATCCTAAACTTATTCATGATGCGATTCATTTAAACTTTTAGTTTATTAATTTTTTACTAGTCAAAAGAATTATATTTATTTTATAAGAATTTAAATTCTCTAAAGTTGAGATATGCGAATTTTATTGAAGTTTTTCTTTTTTAAAAAAAGCAGAAAATATTTAGTTTGAAAGTAAATATGGAGCCTTTAGTCAAGTTACCCATCACAATTGATAAGCTTGGGTTAATTTAATTATATAGACTTGGTCTTGTTTGTATTATAATTCACAAATTCAATCAAAGGTTACATGAAGAGATAAAAAGGGGGGGGGGGTGATGATGATTAGAGCTGAAAAAATGGACCAGCTCGACCTTAAAAGGTTGGCCCTTCACGGACTCAGGCCTCAAAGGGCCAGGCTTAAAAAGCTCATTTTCTTTGAGGTATTAAATTGCAGGGCCCAACCCTTGAGATAATAGGCTTAGGGCTGGCCCTATAGGCTTCAAGCCTTATTACTTTTTTTTCTATTAAATTATTTTATTGAATTAAATTTTAATACTCCATTTCATTTCACAATTTAAAAATCTTATACTAGTAAATAAATTAAGAGTATAACCATATCAATAAATAAAGTGACAGCAATCAAAACAAAATAACTACATAAATCGTAAATACAAAACAAAATGATAGCATCAGAATGGCCAAACGAGATAAACCATAGACACAAGTCTGATTAAGAGCAAAACTGAGAATGAAAGAAGAACAAGGAAAAGCAAATCAGACTATAGTTCTATGTGAGCAAGAGAAGGACTTAACAGACGTTGTCAGTTGAGTCTTTGAGCTTGACGAAGCACTACCACAAACAAAGAAACACAATGAAGCATGGTCGCAAACAGAGGAGCACTGTTGGGATTTGGGAGATGCTATCAATAAAGAGGAATGATGAGAGATGAGTACAGCTCACATGAATAAGAAATAAATCGTAGAGGAGCAAAATTGGTAGAATGTAGTCTGAAGAGTTAAGTTAGGGAATTTAGGGTTAGTTGTTATTTTTTTAATGTTTTGTCTTCCCTGTAGATATGGGCAAACATGTATAGATAGATCATGTTTAAACTTTCTTTTTTTCAAGTTCAAGAGTCTATCAAAAGTTAATCATTTGAATAAAAAAACATTTGAATACAAAAAAGAATGTTACGCAGGCTTAAACTAGCTAGCCTTAAGGTCATAATTGCAAGCTCGGCCCTCTTGTTAAATGAGCTTAGATTGGCTAGCTCGATAGGTTGGGCTCGTATTCCTAGCTCTAATGATGATGCATGGATAATTATTGTGTCTAGAAATTTATTGTATGTGTTCATGATCAACTAATTTTTTTTGTCACTTCATTTGCATTATGAGATGATTGATATGTATTTTGTGTCTTTTGGCTATGTGCCATGTGTGAGTGTTATTATCATGAAAATGTTATATGAGGGCTAAAATATTAGTATAAATGTTGTATTGATGGTTCTGAATTGTTCTAGCTGGCCAAATGGCTTATGTTTTGAGATTATTTAAATGTTAATTATGCCACTTTTTGGTGATTAATTTGGGTTTGAGTAGTCAAAGTGTGTTCTTGAATGTTTGTTATGGTATCTGATTGTTTAATCAGGTGTTTGTCAATTCATTAGATGTAGTTTAAGTCTTGGTTGAGGCTAATAACATATAGCTATGTGTTTGTATTGGGACTTAAAATTTGTCTCATATTTCATCCTATCCCAAAAGATCCTATCGGGACATCTTAATAACCACCTTTACCTATTTTATCCACCCTTATTTGTATATTTAAACGACTAGTAATACTTAACCAATATGGACAAAGAATCATATTCCTATATATATGATTAATCAATTAAGTTTCAATATATATATATATATATATATATCATGAGACATTATGTACGTATAGGCTATTTGGTTAGAGCTTATTATAAATTCAGCAACAACAAAAATAAACTCATTAGATTATTTAAATGACAGTAATTTGGAATTTGGGTTTTTAATTTCTCAAATCAATATAAAAAATTATGAGAAAACATCTCACAACTTGCTTGCCTAGAGTGAGTATTAGAAATAATGCAAAATTAAGTCAAGTAAAAATAAACTAAAAATATAAACAAATAAATAATAAAAACATAATAATTTACATATATAATAGTTATATATATATATATATATGTATAAATATAAAATATCATGATGGGACAAGATATCATAAAGGGTATCCTAAGTCCCATCTCGTCTCGGCTCCTTTTATGTCCTCTCCCGTAACACTACTAGAAAAATAAAATTTAGTGAGAGACAAATTCCTCACTAAATGACCTTTTCTTTCACTAAATTGCGTTTTAGTTAGGGATTTTGTCCCTCAATAAATTCGTAATTAAAAAACAGCTTGCTAAATTTAGCCAGGGATCATATTTCCCTTGCTAATTTTTAGCGAGGGTCATATCTCTCGCTAATACTATTTAAAATTCGATAACTATAGCGAGAGATTAGTCCTCGTTAAATATGCTTATATTTAAAAATGATGATGTCCATCACTTGTCATGTGTGCTTTAACTTGTGATATGTAGCCTACAAACTCATATCTCATCATCCGCCATGTCACCTACCATGTGTCCCATCACTTACTACGTGTATGACAACTCATTACATGTCATTTTTTACCTCGCACCATGTCACTCACTCCTTGCCATGTTACATATTCATTATGTTTATGTTAAGGTTAAGACTTGAACCCTTGACCTCCTACCTTTCAAAGTTATGCTCTCCTTCTTTGTCAGCTGAACTAAAAGCAAATGCAGTCATTATATGAGAAATTAATATATATTATTTAACTATACAAATATATCAAATAATATATTATAAAAAATAAATGCATATATTAAATTTTATTTTCAATTTCTATATGTTAAAAATATTATATTTTATTTAAATTATTCTTTATATTATATTTTTAATAAAATATTATTTTATTAATAAAAATAAAATTAAAAGAAATAAACTATTAAATAATTTTATTATGAATATTTTAGTCAATTTTTAAATTTAATTTTTATTTTTTAATGAAAATAATTAAATATATAATAAAAATTATTATTAAAAGTCAAATTTTTTGCAGTAATTAGTTAGGGATAGAATCCTCGCTAATTATTTTATTTTATAGAGGAATTGGTAGTCGCTTGCTATGTTCTTCATTAATTATTTTATTTTAGAGAGGGATTGACAGTCGCTTGTTATTTCCTTGATAATTTTAAGTTAAGCTACAAAATTAACATCCCTAACTAATTTCCTTCTTAATTTGATATTTTAGAGAGGAATAGATAATTCCTTGTTAATTTGCATTTTTCTCATAGTGTAAATGTCTTGTCTTAATTTTTTTCGACTGGAACAAGTACAAGCAGATCAAAATGGGTACAACCTTGAACATTCCTATGTGTTTCGGTACTTTGGAAGTGCAAAAGTTGCAGAAGATGTTGTTTACTGTCCGGGTGTTCAAGTTGGTTATATGGTATTATTTTGATAGTTAGGAAGTTACAATTTGAAATCAAATTCTAAACTCTAGTTTGATAGTTGGGAAGATACAATTTAAAAATGCGTGAAAAATTAAAAATTTACTGTGATATTATAAGGGCAATGGAATTTTAAAATGTGAATAATTTATTTAAAAATTTGAAATGCAAA